TTTCAACATTGAAATCCTGAACACACCCATCTGCTTTCTTGGTAACTTAACACGTTCATAATTATACTGTTTACATAATTCATCTGCTTGGTTAAGCATTTAACGTGTAAATGTTAATCTCATTTAGGTTAAATTATCAAAAACTTCTGGGTTAATGGCGTTCAAATTAATTCAAGTGTTCTATATTTTCTGGTCCCATAGGAGGCAATTCGAGGTTAACCTGAATTCGTCTCATTTTACTAAATCCACATTTCAAAACCTTTTCTGAAAAGGCAAGACAGCAAATATTTTAGGTTTTGTGGGCCACAGAGTCTTTCTCACATATTCTTATTTGTTTCTTTCTTTTCTTTTTTTTTTGTTTACAGCCCTTTAGAAGTGTGAAAATTATCCTTAACTTATGGACCGTATGGAAACAGACCGTAGGCCTGATCTGATCCATGGGCCCTAAACTAAATGTAAATACAAGCAAGTGATACAGAAATTCTTACATAACATATGGGTGTGTATAAGTACTCAGACCTTACTACCACCTTTTCTCTATAACTGAAGACTTTTTCCTATCTATATCTTGTCTGTGTAATTAAAAAATTGAAAATGCATAGGAGATATTAAATGCTTGAGATCACTGGCTGGTGTGGCTCAGTGGATTGAGCGCAGGCCTAAGAACCTAAGTGCTTGAGATAGGCTGGAGCCCTACGCTGACTCACATAATTGTAGCAGAGGAATTGTAAAGATTATCTAATTTGAACCTCTTATTTATTTTATAGATAATATAAGTAAGAATTCATAAATAAATAAAATTAACCTACAAATATTTGAGGAAGAGCAGTCCTTCAAACCATTCCTTTCGTAATTCTCTTAAATTATTGTCACTGAGAATTCTGAAAAATAAAAAGGTTGTTTCTGGATCAAAATGCAAAATAATCACAACTATTTACTATACAGAACTATATATGGAGAAACCTGGGCAATGGTGCCATCAAAATACCCTGACTCTTTTATTTCATGTAAGTATGATGTCTCTGTTGTTTTCATTCAAAGCTTTCTTCTCATGTCCTCCTTTGTGTCCATCTCTCTCCATCACACACACACACACACACACACACACACACACACACACACACACACATACACACACTCTCCTGCTCACTCTTCTGACCAAATCATGTATTTAACGCTTACTCTCTAGATCACAAAGTCTCTGTTAGAGCCTAACTCTGGATGGTACCACCATGGGCAGAACTGCCCTTTCCTCCTCTCTTTTCCCAAAACTTATTATGGAAGCCTCATATAGAACTATATCAGAGCAGCAAGTGAAGTCATTCAATTCTCTCATACATATAAGCTGGAGAGAAGCATACCTCCCAAAATCACTTAACCAAACTGTGTGCATATAATAAAGCTGATATACAAGAAGGTCTTAGGAAATAATGGTATTTAAAAAAATAAGGACAAAATTCAAAGTTGTATGTACTAATTGGAACTTTAAAAATGATAAATCTGACAAGGATTCAGTAAGGACAGAGAAGAAGTGAGGGCTAATCCTCTGCTGTTTATAGCATCTTTTCTAATTGGCGGATGCCCATGCTGGACTGTTTGGTTAAAGAGTTGGAATACCATGGTGGGTGGGGAGTAGCTAAACGGTACGTATTTTGAATGAAAGCGGTTTCCCTTTGTGAAGTTGTTTGGATGACAGGAGGGTAAAACATTTTGAATAACAACAATAAATGGAACTTGGAAGGAAAGTTTAGACTGAGAATGAGTCAGTCATCAAAAAATTATCCCATGAAAAGGAGCTTCAAATAAGCAACTAACTAGTGTAAAATACACTGATCTGCAGAACTTCAAATATTCATTTTGACTCAAGAAAGACAAATAAAACTATAGGGAATAAGAGTTAAAGCCAGGTCTAAAATAGTCTCACACCATGAAAATATCAAATCCAGGCATGAATACCCATGAATTTCAGAAATACCCAAGGCTAACTGCTTTTTTTTTTTCCCCTCACTGCTGACTTCTGACCAGGCTTTCCTTTCACCAAAGCAAGCTTCTGAATTTCACAATATTTACTCTGAGTCTATATTGTTTATAGTTATCCTTAGCCTCACCTCTGTAATGTCTAGAAAATGGAGAGGGCTCAGGGTTTTTTTCTTTTTCTTTTCTTTTTTTTGAATGTGAGTAATATTGCTTTAGTGGCTTGGGTGAGAAAATATTTGGTGGATGCTTCCATGGACCGAGGGCTATACCTTTTCATTAATACTGGGATAATGGAGAAGGGCGCCCATGGAGTCATTCAAGATTTGTAGTTTTTAGTTCTACAGCTAGGACTTCCTGCTTAGCTGCTTCTCAGACCATGAAGGCTATTAGAACTTAAGTAAACCTAATATGCAAACAATAGGCCATTCTAGAATCTATTCACTTTTTTCCTTTCCTGGCTTTCTCTCCAAAGAACTTATTAATACTTGAAATGATATCTTTTTATTATATCTATGTATTCATTTGTACATTATATACTTGTAAACCCCATGAGAACTGAGGTATTTTGTTTATTTTGATCTAAGACCTGTAACCCTGGCATGTAAAAAAGTTCCTGGCAGAAAGCAGATGCTTCATAAATATTTGTTCCATGAATTCAGAAAGTAACAGGTATCAGTTTTCTGCATACTACCTCTATTTAAAACAAATTATCCCTTACATCACTCAGGAGGTTAAGTTCAGCTTTGCAGAAAAGGAAATGTCTTTCTTCTCCCCTATATTTGTGACTCTTAATCTTTTGAGACAGAGCCTTGTGAGAACTTCGTAAGAGCTATAAACCCTTTCCCTAGAAAACTGCCTTGTCTTGAATACATGCAAAAGGGTGCATGTAACTTCCATTTGGGGAACACCCCTTTAGGGCAGAGGTCAGTGAATAGGATCGAATGGATTGAATTCAGTCCATTCAATGGGAAACCCAAATGGGAAATAAAATTACATCTCTTTTCACAAACCTCTAACTAAAATGAGCACTTCTTGCATTATGAATGTAGGCAACTGACCAAGTAGATGAACAATATAGTAGTTCCTTTGATCTCCAATAGAAATCAGATATTTTCACCCCATGCATTTGATGCAGATATTCTCATCACTCCTCTGAAGTTATGAGTTGTTAGAGCTACTACTATAGCTTGTTACTGAATATGTTAAGAGAAGCAGATTTATTACTATATCAATAGACTTTTTTTAAAAAAATATTTTGAATTTTATTTTCTTATGTATTTTAGCTTATAAATCATTTAAAAACATAGTCCCCAAGAACAGAGGCTTCTATACATAACCAGAGAGACCAATGGAAAAAAATGTTAAGAAATCCTGCCCTGAGGGTCTCTTGACCCTAAGTAAGGAACCCCTCCCTTAAAAGCTATAAATCTCAAGCTGACTTAGAAATCTTCAACACTTACCAGATTGATGTCATTGTGTATAAGCTCCCAAACACATGTTGTTAAATAATTAATGTTTAATTTTCAAGTTAAAAAATATGTAATATATAGTCTCACGGCTCAAAATTCCAAAGGTATATAATACACAATCCAAAGTTTTTTCTCCTACGCCATCTTTCAAACTACCCCACTCTATCTACTCCCTAAAGGAAACTAATGTTATTTATTTCTTGTGCCAAATGACTTTCATTTCTCTTACAAGTTTGTGAAATAAAATCTCCAAGTCAGTTACTATCATGGGAAATACACACTATACATAGTTTCAAAGAAATTCATAAGTTAAAACAACTGCCCAGTTCTAGCATTTTTCTTTACCAATAGAGAAAGGTAAAGAGAAGGGAGGAATCTTAGACGGTGATCATAAACCCTCCTTTTAGATTATTATGGCTATTATGTCTCTTACTATTCATTTAGAAGTCATTTATAATATTCGTTCAAGTTGAACTAATAATATGACACACACTGTCATGAAAAGATGCCACTTAATTACTTTGAATGTAAACTTTATATTTTTCCTGAATTATTTATGTACCTAAACTGACTTTTCTACAAATTGATTTTAAAAAAAAAGATTGAATAAAAATGGGCAAAAAAGGACAGGGCAAATTCAGAGAAGAAATACAAATGGTCAATATTTAAAGACATTTACATTTACAGGTAATCAGAAAAATTCAAATTCAGATGAGAGCACTTCTATTCACTCATTAGATCGGCCACAGAATGGAGACTATCCCATGGTGGAGGGTAGAGGAAAACGAATGTTGTCGTGGCCTATTGCCTGGGGTGTAGGCTGGCACAACTTCTCTGACCACTGGTCTTCACCCCAGAATATCTGTTCTGCAGAAATGCCTGCTCATGTTCACAAAGATGCATGTGCAAGAACGTTCATTGCAGCAATTCGTGGAACAGGAAAACTGGATGTAATCTAAACATCCATCAATAGGGGGATTATTAAACTATAATATAATACACCTATACTATAGAATATTATGCAAGAGTTTAAGTGAATTGGGTAACCAGAAAGGAGACAAATCTAAGACATAGTATGAGGTGAAAGGGCCAAAGTATTATTATTTATGTAAAAAAAAAGAAAATTCCACAACACACCTATTGTGCTATCACCATGCAGGCAAATACATGGGAAAAGGCCTGGAAGGATATATATACTAAACCCGGAGTTGTGGTTACCTTAAGGGTGGGGAATGAGGGTAGAGACAGGGCTTTCACTATACCCGTTATTTCATTTTTACGTGTGGAGAATATAATTAATGTGTTACTTGTTATAGTGAAAGAACATATAAGGTTAAGTTGACTCGTTTTAAAGAGGGCCTGCCAAATTTAATTTTTAAAATAAACACAGAATTGGAATCCATAGAGATTGATTTGGGATATGGAGGCAAATACCTTTTCTCAGAGCTATTCACCTCACATTTCTGGACCAAGAAGGATCTTTCAATGCAGTTAGGGGTTTTGTTTTTTTTTTGTATTCATTTTTTGAAGAGAATATACTCACAGTTTCTCAGTCTCATGGTATGACTTCCATACATCCTTCTCAAACCGTGAAATAGAGTTGCCTTTCAAATTTCTGTGAAGAAACAGTTAATATCTTTCAATAAGGAGGAAAAGAGTGAACAGAGTAAGTAAAACAATCATGGCATTAATCCCCACCTTCTGGGGATTAATCAAATGCAGAAAATACCAGCTTTGTAATTTCTATAGCTATCAACTTCCCAGTTCGCACAGTTAGTACAGGCATAACGTGGGGTCACTGGCACAAAAAATAAGGCCTGTCCTCAGAACTTGAACTTCTTATTTTGACTAGGTAATGCAAGTTAATTATTTTGAATGCATTTTTCCCTCCAAATCACTTGTGTCTAAAATGACTCTATGATGTCACAAAGGGTGGGAGCTCCTTCTTTCTCTCTGCTGCATAGTATTCCACTGTGTAAATGTACCACAATTTTTTTGATCCACTCATTTACTGATGAGCACTTAGGCTGTTTCTAGCTATTGTAAGTAGCACTTTGCTATTATAAGTAGTACTTTGCTATTGTAAGTAGCACTGCTCTGAACATAGGGGTGCATAAGTTATTTTGAATTGATGCTTCGGGATTCTTAGGGTACATTTCTAGCAATGGAATTGCTGGGTCAAAAGGCAGTTCCATTTTGAGTTTTTCGAGAAAATTCCGTACTGTTTTCCACAGTGGCTGTACCAGTTTGCATTCTCACCAACACTGCACTAGGGTTCCCTTTTCTCCACATCTTTGTAAGTGAAATAAGCCAATCAGTGAAAGACAAATACCATATGATCTCACTCATAAAAGGACTCTAATAAACAAAATGAACTAACAAAATAGAACCAGAAGCCTGGAAACATGGAACAGACTGAAAGTGACCAAAGGGGAGGGGAGAGGGGGATAATTGTGGAAAGAAGGGGAGGGGACTAGACAAAGAACATGTATGAATGACCCATGTACATGGACAACAGTGTGGGAATTTACTGTGGGGGTGGGGTGGGCAGAGGAGGGCAAAGGGGGAAAAAGTGGAACAATTGTAATAGAAAAACAATTTAAAAAAATTTTAAATAACAGAAAAGGACCAGGCCAAAAAAATGATTTCTATAAATCAACAAGAACATAATAATTCAACAGAAAAATGGCAAAAACTTATAATTATCAGCAAATTAACATAAACCTTATGTCAGGCCACACCACAACTTTGGGTCTGTGCCCTCAGTGGAACTCTCTCCAGGTGTTAGAAGGACAATGGCGATTGGAAATGAGAAGGACCAATACGGAAAGATCTCACAGACATATTCAACAAGGAAAAGTGGAAATCACTGAGCAGAGAGTAAGGTTTTGCCTTTGTAAGGAAAAAATTGGGGAAGGAAGGAAGGAAGGAAGGAAGGAAGGAAGGAAGGAAGGAAGGAAGGAAGGAGGGAGGGAGGGAGGGAGGGAGGGAGGGAGGAAGGAAGGAAGGAAGGAAGGAAGGAAGGAGAGGGAGGGAGGGAGGGAGGGAGGGAGGGAGGGAGGGAAGGAAGGAAGGAAGGAAGGAAGGAAGGAAGGAAGGAAGGAAGGGGAAGAAGGGAGGAGGGAGGGAGAGAGGGAGGAAGAAAAGAAAAGAGAGGGAGGAGGGAGTGGGGGGAGAAAAAAGATGAGAAAAGAAGAAAAGGGAAGAGAAGAGAAGAGAGAAGAAAAGAAAAGAAAAGGAGAGATTAGAAGAATAGACACAGCAAAATGGTAACAGGAGTGGTAGAAAGGGTTGGGTAGGGTTTTCACATTTTATCTTATTTACTTTTATGACTTTAAAAACCTCCACAACTCAGTGAGAATGTATCCATGAATTACAAGTGTTTAAAAGAAGCTGTTAAATGCCTGTGTTCAGTTTCAACCATTAACTGTGTGGATGACTTTGAATGTTTACCTTTAGCTTTGTTCTCTTCCCTCAGCAACAACTTACCTGCTCAGTTTCTATTCACATTTCTCAGGAAGGTCAGAAAAGTCAAATGGACCCCTGTCTATCTGTCTGTCTGCATAGTGGACATTTCCACTCAACCAGAACCTTCTGGTTGCTTATACTCCCCTGCCCCACAAAATGCCCAAACTGAACTCCTTTCCTTCAACCTGGCTCTCCTTCCCAACTGCTGTTTGTATACCTGCAACACCACCATCACTCACCTCATTATCCAAAATGGAAATTTTACAGGGTCGTATTTGATTTTTGTCTTTCCTGTCCGTCCCATTACCCAACTCCAACTCCAGTCAGTTCCTAAAGCTTGTCAGTTTTTCCTTCATACTGTTCCCAGGATTCTCTTTCTACTCCTATCACATATGTTAGGCACTGTTATAAATACTGTACACATATTAACTCATCTAAATCTCACAACAATCCTGTGAGGTGGTGCTATCATAATCTTCATTTTACGAATGAAGAAATTGAGCCCCAGAGCTAACACGTGACACAGCGGGGTTCAAACCCAGACCCTCTAACCCTAGTATCTCTACTCTTAACCACTTCGTTGTATCCCCACCAGTCAGATGGGGAGAGGGCCACATGGCTATAAAGAGGGTGGAGCAAAGGTGGGAGGAGAGTAAAGATTAAGGAATAAAAGGATGGGGCTAAAAATATCAATATGGAAAAATAAGCAGTTACAAGTGAAAGACTGGTGAAGGAGGGAATGATTGTAAGAAGGAGAATGAAGGAATAGATGGCAAACAGAACATAAAAACAGAAAGTCAGGTAGAGTGGGTCTGGAAAGATGAGGAAGGCCCAGGAAGACCTGGAGGAAAAGGCTGGCGCGTCAGGCAGGATGCAGAGAACTAACAAGGAAAGGCAATTCTTACAAGGTGGTGAAGGTGCCGTTGTGCATGTTGGGCGGTAGCACAGGAACTCCGTGGAGCTTCTGCTTTGGTCCGAAACCAGTGCACGACAGTGTGTCATTACTGCAGGTGCACAGCTCACATACATTCGTGACGGCATTTCGTATAGCTGTTGGAGGACCCATCTCAGATAACACTGGATGGTGAAATCTGATAAATTGCTCATCCAAAGTTGGACTTACTAACTCAGGGTACTGAGATGGGTAATGAGTAGACACGGTTTCCGGATGTGGAAGTGTCGAATGAGGGTGTTCTGGAGGGGCTGTAGTCTGTTGTGTGGTTGTTGGATGTGCACCCTCCACAGCAACTTCCGGCTTTGTGCTAAGCTCCAGGTTCAAAGGCTGACCTGTTATGTCAGGCCAGGTTGGCAGCTGAGCCTGCATAGGCTCTGGGTGTGGAAGAGTCACCTGAGGCTGTTTCAAGGGAGCTGTAGTCAGCCGTGGGGTTGTTGGATGTGTACCCTCCACAGCAGCTTCTGGCTTTATGGTAAGCTCCTGGTTCAAAGGCTGACCTGTTATGTCAGGCCAGGTTGGCAGCTGAGCCTGCATAGGCTCTGGGTGTGGAAGAGTCACCTGAGGCTGTTTCAAGGGAGCTGTAGTCAGCCGTGGGGTTGTTGGATGTGCACCCTCCACAGCAGCTTCTGGCTTTATGGTAAGCTCCAGGTCTGAGGGCCGAGATGTTATCTCAGGCCAGGTTGGCTGCTGAGCCTGAATATGTTCTTGATGTGGAAGAGTCAAATGAGGGCGTTCTGGAGGAGCTGTAGTCAGCTGTGGGGTTGTTGGATGTGCACCCTCCACAGCAGCTTCTGGCTTTATGGTAAGCCCCAGGTCCAATGGTCGACCTGTTATCTCAGGCCAGGTTGGCTGCTGAGCCTGAATATGTTCTTGATGTGGAAGAGTCAAATGAGGGCGTTCTGGAGGAGCTGTAGTCAGCTGTGGGGTTGTTGGATGTGTACCCTCCACAGCAGCTTCTGGCTTTATGGTAAGCCCCAGGTCCAATGGTCGACCTGTTATCTCAGGCCAGGTTGGCTGCTGAGCCTGAATATGTTCTTGATGTGGAAGAGTCAAATGAGGGCGTTCTGGAGGAGCTGTAGTCAGCTGTGGGGTTGTTGGATGTGCACCCTCCACAGCAGCTTCAGGCTTTATGGTAAGCCCCAGGTCCAATGGTCGACCTGTTATCTCAGGCCAGGTTGGCTGCTGAGCCTGAATATGTTCTTGATGTGGAAGAGTCAAATGAGGGCGTTCTGGAGGAGCTGTAGTCAGCTGTGGGGTTGTTGGATGTGTACCCTCCACAGCAGCTTCAGGCTTTATGGTAAGCCCCAGGTCCAATGGTCGACCTGTTATCTCAGGCCAGGTTGGCTGCTGAGCCTGATTAGGCTCTAGGTGGTGAAGAGTCAAATGAGGGTATTCTGGAGGAGCTACAGTCTGCTGCATGGCTGTTGGTTGTTCATCCTCCATAGCAGCTTCTGGCTTTATAGTGAGCTCCAGATTCAAAGGCCAGCCTGTTATCTCAGACCAGGTTTGTTGCTGAGCCTGAACAGGTTCTTGGTGAGGAAGAGTCAAATGAGGGTGTTCTGGAGGACCTATAGTCAGCTGCAGGGCTGTAGCCTCAGCCTCTGAAGTAGGTCGGGATGAAGATGATTTTGTTGTTTCAGAGAGCTTTGGAGGGACCTCCTCCTGGCTTGGAGGTTCAACCGCCTCAGTAAATTTTGCAAAATAAGCCGTGACCTCCTTTGCAGTTGCCAATAATTTAATATTCTTAGGAGGCAGTGGTGTTATGTCATATGGCAACATTGGATATTGAACTTTACCCGAACCCAGAGGTGAGACTGTCACTTTAAGATACAGAGAGTTTTTTGGATGGTGAGCTGGACCCTTCCGCCGGAATGGAGAAGGTTCTATACTGGCCGGAGGAAACTGCAGCAGATCTGAACTCTTCTGGTCAATTGAAGATTCACTATTTTCAGGAGTAGTTGGAAGCTCCTCTGGAACTCCATACACAAACAAAGATTTTAACAACTTAGGAGATACTACAGACTGAGTTGAGGCCTCTTCCTCGATAGAATATGGTTCTCCTACCTCAGGGGCTTCTGGTTCCTGAGCTGAGATCTCCTGAGGGTTTGGAGATGGGTCGTTTTCCTCAGGTGAAATGGTGGTCATCAGGACAGGGTCCAGGGCCAACTTCTGAAACTGAGCTGGAGCTCCGTGGACCAGCAGCCATAACAGCTGCCACACGAAAAAGAGCCGTGGGGCCCAGAGGTACAGCTCAGACATGATGGCAGAGGTCCGAGAGACACAATGAGTGACCGAGGCAAGTGGGGCACAACAAGTGACCCAGATAATTTGGGGCACAGCGATGCGACACAGGCAAGTGAGGCACAATGTGACCCAGACAAGTGAAGCACAGCAAGGCGACCCAAGCAAGTGAGGCTCAGGCACTGCACAAGCAGGAGCCAACAGCTGGCAGCCGTGTCACAATTGGCGTGTCATAATGGGCAGCCTTGTCATGCACATCTCCTTAGCAACAAGGCACTCCTCCCCTGCCTCAGGTTCCAACCTTTATTTTGCCAACCTACATTAGTCTTGGGTTGAGAGTGACTGCAGGAAGCAGGCCTTTCCCCCAGAATCACCAGAGACCAAGGGATCCTTTCCCTGCAGAGGGGACACTGCCTCCCAACAGGCCTCCCATCCCCTCCCCCTCACGATGAGGCAGAACTGTACCTGCGTACATGGGTGGCCCCAGACTCCAGGAGTGCAGGGGTGGTGGGAAGTTGTGGGGAGAGGGGGGAAGATGGGTGTGGTTTGTACTTCCCAAGGAAGCCACAGGGCCTGGCATCCTAAGAAATTCAGAAGGGCCAGTCCAGCTCCTGCAACCTGAACCCCTTCCTAAAACTGAAATCTGAGCCACATTATTCCTTTGGCCATACTGCTTCCAAGAAAAGTAGCTACAGAATGAACACCAGTGTGGGTGGCGGGAAGGGGGACACACTACAGTTTAAAATGTTGCCATTTCCTCAAATCCTCAGTGTCCATGTCTGATCCTTCACATGGGGGCTACCACTGAATCCCTGAGGACTCCAACATTTCTGTGGGTGGGGTTTGGGAGGGTGAGTGATTCAGCCTGGGAGAGAGGGTCTGAGACCAGGTGAACAACCCTTCACAATGGTCAGGAAAACGTCTCCCTCCCTTCTGGCTTGACACAGCCATTAATCTAGAAAAGTGACGATGGCCCTTTCCAGAGGTCCACCCTGTGCACATTGAGGGAGAAGACACTCCGGGTGTTAAAGCCGGCATGTGGAGTCATTTTCTCCAGACACGGCACCCAGTTGGCTTCCCTCACAGCCCTTTTTATGTTCTGTCTTATTTTACTCCTCCTTTACTGTCTGGCACAACCTTCAGAATGTAAACTCCAAGAGAGAAGGGGCTGCATCTTATTCCCAGTGTCAAGCACACAGTAACGGTTTTTACATGGGACTGATTGCAGGATTGGCCTCAGAGTGGGGATGGCTCTCTTTGTTATGTTCAGGTTTCTGGAATCTTTAGCATCTGTACTGAATTCCTTCCTCACATGTTTCATAGGAAGACAGATTTCTTAAAGCCCAGGATAACAACAGAGCTCTTGCTTTCTGTAGTTATTAGAGGTTCTACATTTCAAACTTCCAGCTAAGTATCCTCAGAAGTCCCACACAAGTTAAATTCAAGAACTATTCTATTTCGACTATGATTTAATTTTTGTTTTTAATTAGCAAGTGCTTGACCTCAAGGTGCTGTCAGAAATTTACCAGATGTCTATTCTACATTGCTTGTGTCTTTACAATCCTTCTCAAGGTACTGGCAAAGTATGTCATAAAATCTATAGGATGAAATAACTTTGAATTTTAACAATAAAAATAAATAAATGCCTTATTCAGCCAATACCTCTGGCTTAAGCAAAACTAGATAATTTTGATTATCTAGTTTTATTTCCTATCTAGTGTTAAGGATAGGAAATCCTTCATTTCCTATCTAGTATTAATTTCATATTAACACACTGTCAGCCCTACAGTAACATGTCATGTGAGTACCTTACATACCCATTTATACCTTTTCTCCAAAAAAAGCAAAACAATTTCCAACAAATAAGCCTTTTTAAATCTGTAATTTTAGAAAATTAAGCTAGTAACCAATGTCTTTACACCATCGACAGTATTATTACCTACAAAGTACTCAATAGATGAATAGAGGAATGAGTTATTTCTTATACTAGGAATTTAATGTTAGTACTTACACCGACATTCTAGTCTACAAAAATTAAAGTACCAATAAAGTATATTTACCTTTTTGCATTGACACTACAGCAGGATTCCAACCCACCAATCGTATTTCTTTATGTGCTTTTGGAGTATCTTAAACCAGTCCTAGAATGTTTTACATATACACATTGACCCGATGGCCTTCTTCCTAGCCTTTATTGCCTGCAAGTACAGACCAAAACAAAACAAACTAATGAAATGAGCATTTAGCCTAAACAACTCACTGTCATGCACTGTTACTCGATCTAGGCAAGTGGACATATTCTAAAAGTTGAAAACACAAAGTGTATTATCCCTTTTACCATAATGTTGAGAAATAACGTGTTTCATAAAGTAGAGCATCCAACAAGTTAGCACCACAGGCAATAAAAGAAAATGCCTGGCAAAAACAGTGTGAAATAGCAGCTCAAAACACACTAACTCTGCTACTAAACACATTCACCGGTCCAATTGCCTATCAAATCTAATTGGAACAATTTTTAGATTCCCAAATCCAAAATATTTAGAATTAGGGCATACACTGAAGAATTATGAAAACTTCATCTATTAGTTTTCACCTACTAACAATCATTTATCCAACCAGTCTCTGATGAGCACCTGCTGCTGCTACATGCAAAACATTTTGCTAAAAAAGGCAGAAGATATAAGATTGATATAAGGATAGGGAATCCTTCATTTCCTATAGAGGTAGGACAAGTATACACAAAGTAGACTGCATGTCATTAAGAAAAACAAAATGTCATGTAAGGACATAAGCATACAAGTTTGTTTTTTAAAGGAAGCCCAACCACAGTCGTGACTTAACTCAGCATCCACACAGCCATCAGTCCCAAATATTATTTGCTAGGCCTTCAAAGGGAAGTGAGTGTCAGCCTCACCTTCATGATCTCATCCAGCCCTAACTGCTTGCCAAAAGAAGTAATAGTATTGCTTTGGGTGGTCGGGTTTCAACACACGAATCTCGGGGAGGAGAACACACACACTGGACCACAACATGTCGATTTTGGACTTTCATACACCAAAGCACGAGAGAATAAATTCCTGTTGTTGAAGCCAAGTCTGTGGTACTTTGTTACAGCAGTCCTAGGAAACTAATTCAGACTGCAACTAGCCCTCAGGAATGGTTTTGAACTTCAGTGATTGGCAGGTATGAGACATCTTCTCAGGTCTCTTGATTAATAAAAAGTTAACTCTAGATGGCATATATATGCAACTTTTCTTAATCTTTAGTGAATGAAAGAATTACTTAATATCTTTACAAATGAAAATTTCTCAGCCAGGAGCCACAATTAACTCAGCTTGGGGCTGGCAGGATAGAATCTGCATATTTTCAACCACCCCAGGGAGCTGTGCTATTGGTAGGTGATCCTCAGACCACCAGAGACAAGGAACTCTTGAAAAGGCCCCGGTCAGATCGGTTCATTTAGAAACATAAATAAAATTTATTGCATAAATGACACAATTAATCGTTATTTTCTAGGGATCTGTTAGGCAGGATAACAAATCAAGTCAGGGCGGGGATGGGAGACATGTCTCACCTGTTAAGTCAGCAGTCCTGAGCCTGGTCCAGTAAGATTGCTAGGTATTTCCAAAATTGTGGTGGACTCCGGCCAGCAGAGTCCACTTGTTGTGACTGAAGACGAGAATAAATGCACAGGAGACAGCAATCCTGTGGAGAAAAAGGAAATGGCACAGCTACTCTCTCGAGGGGAGAGCGTGTCGACCCTTCCCTTGACAAGCTTTTATTGTTTTTCTGGGGCCTTACATCAAAGGATTTATTATCTATTACATAGGATATTATTGTCTACATTTTAGGTACAATCAAGGAAATGAAAATAACATGCAGAGGGGAATGGCGGTGAGCTGATTAGCTCTGTTCTTGGGAAAATTCACAAAGGCTTTGGAAATTACCTTGAGGATAGACAGTACACATTTGTTGTTTTAGACCAGGGTGATGGAGTTTTAGCAAGAGCAAGCCATAACAGTCTATAGGCATTTTCTAGGCCTGATTCTCATGGGAAAACTTGGTTTGAAGGTCTGGCTCCTCCCTACCACTTCGCTTCTGTAGGTTTTCTATTATAGAGCTGAGTCACATTTGCCAGACTAAAACAAACTGGTCCCCTACACAAAATCACAAGAAAGACCGTGATAGTGCAAGAGGGGACATTCTGTATGCATTGTTCCCACAATCTAGAAAAGGCTTTGAAACTGTATATAAATGCCAAGGTCTGCAGAGGGGAGGAGGGGAAAACTAGAAGCTGCCTATCAGCATAAAACCCCTAAAGCCCCAATAAGCAGCGCACTCAGACTGGCTGGGTGTCTGCTTGCAGCTTCACGCTCAAGTCTATTTCATAAATCAACTTGTTATTTCCACTATACATGTTGTCCCTTATCTGAATTCTTCTCTTGCAAAAGAGACAAGAACCGGGGAAGGGGAGCCCCCTAACTATATCCCCTACAGTGTACTTTATATCTCCATGACTGTTTTTCTAACTGCCTATATACACTTCCTAATCAAAACCTAAATGACTGTCTTAAACTATTAGTAAGATATATTATGCAAATACTATATTTCATATATATTAAGACTAAACTTCAATTTTATTTGCTCAGCATTTCAGAATCAATTTGTTTAGAAAAATAGAATCAATTACACTAAAACTTCGGTATGTTAACTCATTTTGCACATTTATCTAATTGATGATATATCAGTGTCATTAGGTTGATGCTCGTGAAAGTTACCCTGGTTGCTGTGGCTTAGTGGACTGCGTGCCTTCAAACTGAAAGTTGCCACTTTGATTCTCAATCAGGGCACATGCCTGGGTTGCGGGCCAGGTCAACCCGTCCATATTTTCTTTCGCACATTGATGTTTCTCTCCCTCTTTCTCTCTCCCTTCCCCTCTCTTTAAAATAAAAAATAAACAAAATCTTAAAAAAAGGGAAGTCATCATAGACTAATAAGTTTTGAGTCACTTAAAAATTGTTTCACAGTATAGGAATTTTTAAGGAATAAAGTGGGTGATATTTTATATTGAAAAGCTTTAGCTCAGATAGCATTCATTTAAAGCATGGTATTTCATCAGTCCAAGGATCAAATGGTGTAAAAAAAAAAAAAAGACTCTTAACTCAGGTAACAGAACTGTGAACCAAACAACAGGGCTTGCATAAAGATAATTTCAGGAGCAGCATCTTAATGAAAATCCTAGTTAAAACACAATTTTAGTAATAACAAGGTTTCAGCTCAACATAATTTTACAACATTTAGTTTTGATAGAAACATGTTTTATTCTGGACAGTGAAATGGAAAACAGAGGAATCAACCATGTATTTTAAGTCCTTTTCTAGAACAACCAATGTTTATTAGAAACTTGTAGCCCCAATGACAATAAATACCAACAATATCATGAAATAGTACAAAAATTATTGTCCGAATACTGAACATCTGTAACCAACACCCATTTTGGCTTCAAGAAAACACAGCAAACACATACCAAATCAGTAACTCCATATACACCAAAAAAAAAAACCCCAGCTCAAGTTGAGGAATGAACTGGCTGGAACACACTTATTGTGTTACTGCTTTAAGAATCCCACGGAGCACCTTGTAACTCATTAACTGCACGTTTTCCTTTGGTGGGAAACACGGTCCTCTCTCTGTCACGTATGCATAGGGAAATCTCAAAACCCAGAGGCCATCTGGTGGGAGAGTGATTTCTTGTTTTTCTGGGTAGAATACTGGACATGGGGGTGGCCCTGGCTGAACCTGAAAAACACAGGTAATATAATCATTTTTTCATTTCTCAGTATGAAACACCTGAAAGGTAAATGCCTAAACAAACAATAGGTACATAGGTAATAGGTGCACTTCTAACTTTAATCATATCCCATACATCACTGTTTAGGCTCAAATATTATCCTGCTTTTCTACAAATTTTTAACTTCAAGTTCTGCCTCTGAACCAACTGATATGAATTGATGGTATGATGCAATTTAGTTTTAAAGAAAAAGAATATAAGGTATAAAAAGTATTCAAAATTAAGACTTTTTCTCCCTGCCCAAAATCAATAAATAAAAATTAAAAAAACTAAACAAAACAAAGCATCAGCATTTTAGTTTCTGAAGACAGAAAGGGTTGTATTTCTTACCTGAGGTATTAGTATTATCTGCAAAGGAGCATCAGGAACCACAACAAAAAGCCTCATAAGTTGAGCATAATGTGGTTTTAGCCCTCTACCCTGAGAGGATGACAGAATATACAAGGGCATATCACTATTCAGGGCTTTTAAAGCTGATTCCTTTGGTCCACTCCCCAATACTTTCATTACTTTGTCAGGTCCTGAGCACATAAACCTCCGACCTCGAGAATCTTCATATTCAAAGCCCACAAATGCTCGCGCTATGTCATCTCGCCGTCTTCCTCTCCCCATTACAACTGCGCTTCTCTTTCCGGGGATAGCTTTATTTGGAGCAGGCCAAGAATTTGTGTCTAAGTCTCCTTCATCTTCAGCTCTGGTCCTGATGACAATGTCCCAAGGCATAAGATAATTTGTTCCTGGAATGAAGCCCTGTTGGTCCAAACCTGTATGAAAGTTGTAAGACTTAGCAGGGCCTAGTTTAACCAAAGACCAGCTCGAGAATTTGGGAAGGAGACCTTTCGGGCAATTTGAATGCAGCATGCCTGGGAGATACTCAACTGTGGATGCCTGTCGATCAACCAAGTTTGGTCTCTTCTCAGTTTTTACTTCTCCTTGACCATGAACTTCTGGATTATCTCCTCCTCCTTGTGGATCAGGTGGATAGGTACCTAAACTATCTGTGGATTGGCCTAAACTCAAAGCTAGACTCAGGCTTGTGCTCTCTCCTTGGGTTTGAGGTTCTTTTTCTTTAAGTCTGTCAGCCTCTGCATCTGGAGGGGCAGAAGATTCATTTTTGGCAGGTGCAGGATCTGGAGTACTTGGTTCAAATATTGGGAAATTGATATGATCCAATTTTCCACAACACTTTTCTTCCAGAAGCTACAGAGGAAGACAGAAGGGGGGAAAACTGTGACTTTTTCATTTAAAATAACACAAAAAGTTCTTCACTCAGAAAAGCAAGATCCACAATTAATGAGTAAGCAAATGAGTACAAATAAAGAACTTTACCTTGTTTCCATATCACACAGCAGTCACATTTACTTTTCTAGATATTTTACTTCTACAAATATGTATTTTTCCTCCATTGGTAGTAACAGAAAAAAGAAAGAAAAAGAAACAAGAAAACAAAATCCAGAACCTACCTGATAAAAGTCATAGTTAGCTGCCTTGATATCAAAGGGATCGTCTCGAGGTGCTTGTTTCCTGCCACAGTTACAGGCACCAGTGGATCGAGCTCGGCTATTGTGATACAGCACAGGAGGATTCCTTTCAGCCTCTGGTTTTTCTCCTAGAAAATATAAGTCACTATTAATTTCACACACATAACACAGAGTCAAATTTATTTTGCATTCCTTAGCATCTAACCCCCAAATTTCCCCCAAAGTATTTTGGAAATAAGGGGAAAAAAAACCCCCTAAAACCCAACTCCAAACCTTGACTAACTACCCATAAAAAAAGAAAACAGCTAAAAATACATCAGGTTTCCTAAATTAACTTTACCATCATTATGGTGACCTTATACTTCATTTTAGTTCAGCAAAAACGACAATATAAAAATGTTGATATTTTTGGAACTTTGTATTATTTAACAGTTCTCATTTACTAATACTCAAGGTTCACTCTTTAAATATGAAAAAATAATTAGTCATCATAACTGGTTATTTTCTTTTTTACAGCAGGAGAACAAATCTGATTTGTACCTACATTTCTATAGGGCTCTTTTTAAAAATATCGATACATAGTGAGTGAATTCTCTTAGGGCAAGAACAAAAACACAGCTCATAGTTTTGATTTCAAAATTCTGAGAAAACTTTAGTTACCTGATTTAGGTAATGAGTGAAATTTATGTACACAATGTTGATCAGTTAAACTCCTCTCCTCACAGAGCTGATGGCCATTGCTCCAAAACTTGTAGCAGTCCTCATGTAACTGCATGGCATATTTGTGAAAGGCTGGACCCCTAGCATGCTGACTATATACTCGCAGAGCCTGGGCAAGTTGATTCTTATGGACAGTCATTGTGTAATTATGAGGCAAATTTGACTGATAGGCACTATGAGCCATGGGTAAAGCTTTTTGGCACCGGTTTTCTGAGAATTTGGTGTCAATATCCAAAAACCCTTCCAAGACTTTAATACTGCTTAAAATTTTAGATGTTAGCTCTCCAGTGGGAGACCCCAGGTCCTCCTCTTTCCCATCAATAGCTACTTCATACAGTTTTGAAGCTGCTGAGATCCACTTCTGGTAAGTGGGAAGTTCAAAATGGGAAGGCTGTGGGTTCCTTCCCACACTATCATCAAAACCTTTCTTGCTTAGCACTAGCTCCACATGCTGCCATAGGAACTCCCGAAGAGTGAAATCCACTAGCTGCCCGGAAGAACTGGAACTGCTGCTGTCAACATGGAAAGAAAGTTGCTGTCGGCTGTGTTGCCTCATCACTTGGTATCGCCTGGGACCAGAAAGGGGTGCAGGCACCAGCAAAGATTCAGGGTCCTTCACAGTACAATGACTCCTAAGTTGGTCCAGCAACATGCCTACAGGGTCCTCCTCCTGGCTTCCCGAAACTATGTACACAAAAGCTTGGTTGGCAGGCACAGTGAAGAGGCAGTTGATACTCTGATTAGTCAAGACACGACTTTTGCGGAAGATTCTATAAATCTGGTCCTCCAGGGCATGTTGCAGCCTCCTTTTGGGAGAATGTTTCTTGGGCTTGTCTGGATGAGCTGGGTCTTGGCTCCGAGGAGGTTCCACTTTAAGGGCCCCATTGAGTTGGAAGAGGAAAAGCAGTCTAGGCGGGCAGGGTCGGCAGTTCAGTTTCCAGTCTTTGCCAACTGGACAATCTTTAATGGCTGTTTTGAGGAGGGGCAGTACTTTCTGTCTCAGTCCATCCAGGGCTCTGAATACGCGATCATAAGTGATGTCAAAGGAACAAGTGGGATGGACTAAAAGCAGGATATGACAAACGGAGAAAAGGTAAAGGAGACTGAGGCACTGCAGCTTCTCTTGATGTTTCCAGAACTCGTGCGCTTCTGCATGAGGTAAAGGGAGCCCACCTCCAGCTTCCCCGCTCTGAAGGGCCCGACAAGCCCGCAGAAGCTGGGAATTGTCACAGATGGAAGTGAGAAGAAGGTACAGAACTTTACTTTCCTGATTGTAATAGGCCTGCAGAAGGCTGTAGTCCTGCAAGCCTGGCTCAGTTTGGTTACTTTCCGCAGTAGCTACACCTCCCCGAACTGGATCTGCGGACCCAGCCCCAGGGTCCCCGGCTCCACCTGCCTCCGCGACGGCGTCAGGCTCCGTCCTGATTCCAGGCCCGGGATCCCCAGGATCTTGGTGGCGAAAAAGGGGAAAGATCTGTCGGTCGCACACCGTGTTCACAAGTGAGAACTTCTCGGAATTCAGTCGCAGAGCCGTCTTGCCGAAGATTCCCACCACGCAGATCTCCTCCTCTCGCCAAGGAGGCCCCGGTCCGCTGGCCACGCTCCCTCCGCCCTCGGCAGGGGGCCCCTCTGGACTTTCAGGGTTGTTCCAGGATGCCGATTCCATTAGAAGGTCTCTTAAGCTGATCGGACCCGCCATGGTGCTGAGACTTCCTCAGAGTACTTCCGGTCCGTCAAGCAAACCCAACCGACTTTCGTCCACTGTTAAAATCCCTCCCCTTCTTCTTCAGTGCCTGCTTTTTCTCTCACATTTGGTTCCGCCTCCCGCTCCCCTCTTTTTCTCCGAGGTTTTCCCTAGTGCTGTACCACAGCGGTTTGAGATTTTCCTCAACTTGGGACGATAGGAATAGACATACCGTATCAAAAAGCCAATCGGAAGCAGTTAGTTGGCATTTGAAGGAATAAAAACACGCAATAGAAGTGTCCAGTGACTTCTAAAGTATAAAAGTCGTTCAATTTAAAGTCTAGAAGCTTGCTACACTAGATGTAGTCTGCAGACCTTAGAAGAGGAAGCTTGTTAGAAAAAAGTTCCCCTCATGTCTTCATGGTTTGATAGGTTTTTTTTTTTGTTTTTTTTTTAACTGCTAATATTCCATTCTCCGGGTGTACCACAGTTAATCCATTCACCTACTGGGCATACTGATAGTTTCAAACTTTTGGAAATTGTGAATAAAGTTGCCACAAACATGTGTGCAGGTTTTTGGGTGGATCTCCTCTTTTATTTTTATATCTCTATTTTTCTACAGTGAACATTTTTCTTTTATTTATTAAAACATTAATTATTTATTTATTTTTAGAGAGGGAAATGGAGGAAGAGGGGAAGAAACATCAATGTATTGTTGCCTCTCTAGCGCTCCCTACTGGGGACCTGGCCCGCAACCCAGGGATGTGCCCTCCTGGGAATAGAACTGCCACGGTTTGGTTTACAGGCCAGCACTCAGTCCACTGAGCCACACCAGCCAGGGCTGAACATTTTTCTTTAATTTGTAATAATATTTAACTTTTTTCCTTGAAGAAATGTGGAAAGCCTTAACCCAGTATTTGATTTAGTTGATTGAAAGTATGGTGAGGTTTGTTCTTTTTTAAATACTCTTAGCTTTAAAGAAGAAATAGAAATTTGGTAATTTGTGTTTAGTGAGTTGTCACTTGGGATGTCAAATAATGACAATAAAATAATTCAACATAGATTACTTACAGTGTGGGTCTGTGTTAAATTCTTATCAAAACGGTCTCATTTATATATAATCTTATACGTGGAATTAAAACAAAACTAACTGTAAAATCTAAGAACAGATTAAGGTGGAGGGAGGAGCACGCAGATGGGTGAAGGTGATCAGAAAGTACATACTTCTCATTATAAGATAAAAAGTTCTGGGGATGTAATGTACAATATGGTGACTATAAATGATAGTACTGTATTGCATATTTCAAAATTGTTAAGGGACTTCATCTTAAAAGTTCTTATTACAAGGAAAAATTGGAACTATATGAGGGAATGGATGTTAACTAGGTTTATTGTGGAAGTCATTTTGTGATATATACCTATATTAAGCCATTATGTTGTATGCTTAAACTAACAGTGTTATAAGCTAGTTATAGCTCAGTAAAACTGAGTGAAGAGAATTATCTCATTTAACCTTCAAAGGAAGGGTGGGGCCCTCAGTTGTGTTGGTTGGGGTTGGTGTTTTTAATATATTAGCTATATTTGGATTCCATTAATTATTTTCAACCACCTGAAAAAAGATTTTTATTTATTTTTAGGCAGACGGGGAGGGAGGGAGAGAAACAGCCATGTGCAAGAAGAAACACTGATCAATTTTCTTTGGCACTCCCCCATCTTGGGACCTGGCCTGCAACCCAGGCATATGCCCTGACCAGGAATGGAACTGGTGACCTTTAGGTTTGCAGAACGATACCCAACCCACTGAGCTACAGCCAGTCAGCACTCAAATAACTTTTACTAACAAGAATTTATAAAGAAGTAGTGTTTTTAAATTTATTTAATTTTTTTCTACTTGTTTGCTCTCTTCTACATGTCCAGATCCTATTTCTCTTTGAAAAGCCAACTAAACTGAAAACATCTATATGTTCATCAACATAAATTACATTGCAGTACTCACCATGGAGATTATTTGTTATGTTTAGTGACTTTGCTGATCTTCAATTATTTTAGCTCTGGCATGGTAGCTTGGTTAGAGTGTCATCCCCATACGCCAGAGGTTGTGGTTCAATCTCTGGTCAGGGCACATACCTGGGTTACAAGTTCGATGCTCGGTTGGGGTACATGTGGGAAGTGAGTGATCTATGTTTCTCTCTCCCTAAGAAGAATCAATAAAGCGTATCCTTGGAGGATTTAAAAAAAAAGATTAGTTTAATAATTCTTTGACTAAAAAATCCAGGAAAAAAAGTGTATATTAAACCACACACATTGTACAGATTTCCCAAGTAAACAAAATGTTGACAAAACCAAATAGAAAAGACTCCTTTGAAGAAAATAGGAGAAATAACGATCACACTTTGCTGAAGGCACCACAGGTTGGTGTTATCACTTGGAAAACCAGTTTGACAGTATCTAGAAAATAGGTACATTTTGTAATCTGTTTCCTAACCACCCCGAACTAGAAGCAACCTTAATGTTCAGTAACAATAGAATGAATAATTATATTCACATATTGCCAGGGTCCAGCCTTGCAGGGTTCAGGGTCCCTGAAGGATGGACGGTACAGGCAACGCATGAAGAGTCAGACACCCAATTGGATGCCAGAGAACAGCCAGCATCTGTGGGTCTGACCGAACTCTTAGAGTTTGATTTAGGCTTTATTTTTATAGAGATTGTTATATAGCATTAAAGGAACAGGTGTATGGCATGATCAGTTAAGCAGAAAAAACCAATACAGAGGTAGCTAGGAAAAGTACAAGAATTTCCATAGTTTCAATTATGTTAAAGTTGTTTTGACCAGGAGAGCCATTAATCAGAGAATTTGAAATAGCTCTATGTACAGAGTTTGAATGTCTTATTGTTTATTAAAGTTCTTAGAATTTGGAATGGGGCAAAAGGGTATACTAGACCGAGCAGAGGTTATAGGAAATTTATTATAAGGCCTTTGTGATGTCTAAGTTAGCTATCTATCTTTCTGTCTAAAATGTTTATGTAATATGGACTCTAACTCCTTGGTAAATGTTTCTACGTGCTTAGTTTGTAGTAGCTAACCAGTTTCTCCTGTTGCCTTGCCTGTCCACTTCTAATTAATACATATTCCTGTCCAAAGTATAGGAGGGGCTGTTACTCCATCAACTTTTAGATATTCAGGGGCTACTTCATTAGGGGGCCAGAGACTTTGTTCTCTGGCCAAGAAATTATTTTGTATAACTTCATTGGAATCATGTGGATCATTGGACCTGAAATGCAGGTGTCCAAAAATCCCACCACGTATTAATCTCAAAGACAGACATGTAGGGAGAGATAGACAGAAACTCCAGCCACATTTGCCTCTGCTGTGCAGATGCATCTCACCATCCTGACTGTGTCCAGGGACGGCTGTAGGTTGGCTTCCGACAACATATCAAAAAGAAATTATTTATATTGGGTTGGCTAAGAAGGTTTTTCTCCATATACTGGCTCTAGCAGTACTTAGTTTTCTTTAACTTCATTTGAAACAATTTTGTTAGATTATATTGTGACAGCTGTCATATCAGCTTGTATTTTTAAAAAATCTTATCAAAACTGAATTTTTGTGCAGCCATTTTATAATATCAAATATGGGAAATATACATTTTCAGCGTGCTATGCTTTATTATTTTGAGAAAGATAAAAGCACAGCTGAAATGTAAAAAAAGATTTGTGTAGTGTATGGAGAAGGTGCTGTGACTGATTGAATGTATCAAAAAAGGTTTGCGAAGTTTCTTGGTATTACTGACACTTTGGCCAAATAATTCTTTGCTGTGGGGCTGTCTTATGCTTTGGAAGATGTTTAGCAGCACTCCTATCCTCTACCCACTAAAAGCCAATAACAGGAGATAGCCAACATACTCAAATATCTAAATCAATTAAAGTTATTGGTGAAATGAAAAATGTGTCTTTTGTATCACAGAAAAATCTAAATGGGTTTTTGGCCAACCCAATAGTACTGAACAATAACATGGTTAAATCTTAAAAAATAAGTGTTGATTGAAAGTAGAATAATAAATAATGTATTATTTTATTAATGTAAAGTTCAGAAGCAAACAAAATAAACTATAGCATTTAGGGATGCATATTTAGAGGGCAAAAGCAATAAATATTTATTGTAACAAGCACATCAGTAATTAGAGGGAAAGGTAGGGAGACAGAGCTTCCAAAGACATTTATAGTTGTCTCCATTTTATATAATAAATATTTCTCACTTTTGCCCTCTAAGTATGCATCCCTAAACACTATGGTTTATTTTATTTGCTTAACTGTACTTGAAACAATTAAAAAAAGGGGGGGGAATAATTTTCAATAGCAATAAAAAATAAATACATTTATAATGTTTCTTGTTGGTTAGATGAGAGTTTGCTTTATAATTTAATTTATATATTTATGTTTCATATACATTTCTGTATGTGCTATGGTTCTAGTGAAAACATTAAAAAAGAGAAAAATCAAAGGTTTTTACTTTTGCTCTTTACCTAAAAACAAGACCAGATACACCTGTAGTTTATACTCTCTGGTTTTCATTTAGTCTCAAAATAAACAATGGGAGCATACAATCAGCAACAGTTTAATGAAGCTATAGCTTCATTTATAGGATTCTCAAATGAGCACAGTATAAAATCTGTCATAACAGTAGATGAATGCAAGGTAGAATACATTTTAATACTGGTACAATGGCAATAGCAGCTTTACAAATATTTATCTATAGTATTTCTATAATATTTTTAATGAACCTTTATTCCATAAGAATGATCAAATCATTTAAATTACATTGATATAATACATAGTGGTGTATTAATATTAGAAACATTATGAATGCCTCAAAAAATATTTTGTACAGATATTCAACTACTTTATTCTCAGTAAACATTCTTTTTATTCACCCATAGCATACATGTAGCTAGCAGGTTAAAAGAAACTTTCACTGGAAGCACAAATGTTTCTTAACTTTATTATCTGTTGAATTTTTATCTATCAATGTGCTGTAAACACAAGTGGGGACGTCATAAAAACAAAAGTATCCCCAGGTCTATCTTCCAGTCTGGTAAGTTTCCAGTCTGGTAAGTTACCAGTCTAGTAACTTTATAACACTATGTGGCATCTCAAAGCAATATTTATTTGGGAAATTGTTAAAATAACTTTTTAGCCTAGGCTAGCCAGGGGGATATTTCAAAGATATGGTCTACGTTGCTGCTTCCTCTCAGGCTAAAAAGTGTAGTGAAGACGTGAACCCTCTTGGTTACTCTCCACAAAGAACTGCCATCCTTGTTCCTGGAGCCACAGTGGAGGTCTTGGCATTGAAGCTAATCCGGTGCTTTCAGTTACACTCACACCAATGCAAGTTCCCCTTCCGCCTTGATAGTTACAACATCAGTGGTGGGGATCCCTGCTGAAGCCGTAATTGTGTCCACTGCCAAGCAGATACGTCCCTCCGACAAACTGGGGGCTCCCAGAAATCCTTGGCAACTTTGTAGGGAACTGATGGTCATCAAATAAAATGTAGAATGCCCACTTAAATGTGAATTTCAGGTAAACAATACATTTTGTTTTATTATACATATGTCCTATGCAATATTTGGGACATAATTATACTAAAAATGATTTATTATTTAATGGGACAAGTTTATATTTAAAAGTTACCTGCTGTTGATATGAATTTCAAATTTGATTAGGTGTTACATGTTTACTAAATCTGGCAACTCTGGACTGGCAGGAAAGAACAAAAACACAGTTAGGGGTGCATTATTACTGTTACTGAATCAATAGGCTGTTGAGGACAGGGTATCAGGTCTTACAGTGAACCTCCTATAGCCCTCAAAGAATCCTTCACAGGGTACCGCAAAAAATGTAAGGTTTATGTCGAGCCTTCATGAAATTCAGATTTCACTGTTCGAATGTGGACAGCAGACAGCAAAATAACAGATATCTCTGACTTCAGTGAGCCGGAGGTAACTACCTACCTAAGATACTAGGAATCATCATTCTAATTTTTAAGGTCACATTGGATCTTCCGCTTCCCCACCTTTTGAAAAATAGTTGGGTTTGGATGGAGAATGTTCTTACTTCTTAACTGTTTGTAATGAACAGAAACCAAATCCAGAGGGTGTTTTTAATTGATCAAGTTTGTAGTACTTAAATGAATGCATGAGCTTTACAGGCTGAAATACTTTTCTTTACAATTACCTGAAAACACGCAAGATGCATGGGAACTAGGTTACTGTCTTACGGTTATACATGCACCCACAGAGTACAAATTAGAATCATCTAGTTATATTTGAACAACCTCTCTACCCTAAGTTGAGTAATTCCAGGATAAACATCACTTTGGGGATTGTATTTTCCATTCTGTTCTCTTACTGATCATGCCAACTAGAAAATATCCAAATACCCCCTTTATATGACAGTACATACAAGCTCCATACATAATTCTTTAAATGGAATTATATATTAGAATAATTATACATACTACATTTTTACAAAAGGAGTGAGGTGATTTCATCAGCATATTTTATGGATATCACATGGAGTCAGGCAGAATTGGCATCAGTTTTACTCATCAAAGCTGCTTGTAGAAAGTGGCAGAGTTTGAGTTGGGCTTCTAGGGTGAGCCAGCTATGGAAAAAAAAAAAAGGGGGTCTCAGTTATAATGTGGATTATGTTCCTGCAGCCAACACAGCTCTCCTTCTTCCTCACTAACAGAACCCAGACTTTGTGCAAGGCAGCAATGCATGCGGATCCTAAAAACCCATTTTCCCAGTTTTCTGGATACAATCACAACTTCCTGGGTAGCAACTGTTTAAAGAGATGAGGGACAACTTAGCTGGCACGCCCTCTTGTCCTCTGCCCTTCTTATTTTGCTTAGAATGGAGATGTGAGGATTCAGGAAGTACAGCCACACTGCACCCTAACGGAAGCCACACATCAGAGATGGAAGAGCAGTGATGCCGTGGTGAAGCTGCTGTGCAGACTGCCTACTTCTCCAGTGAATATGCAGGTAGAAAAAATAAGCCGCTAGTTGGTGGAGACTCTGCAGTCAGATTTCGGTCACCTGCAGCCAAGTGCAAGACCTAACTAAAGCAGTTGCTTCAGAGTTAAAGGAGAAAGGAAGCCCGAGGGCCGGGTAGGGAAAGTCATTCAATACCCAACAACAGGTTTCACTAGACATCCTCCTCCTGACCTTTGAGGAGCACATGTGTAGCATAGATCCTACCTGTGATTTCTGATGTTGTTTCTCAATATGTGGATATGTTATTTATTATATTTTTATTTGTTTCTACATCATCCAGCCCACTACAGTAGTTATAGAGTGGGGTTTGGACAATAAAGATCCTAGAGCTGAACAAGGAAAAGAAAGCGCTTAGTCCTTCAGAGAGGCCACTGTCCTCTACCCCTGCCCTCCACAATCTGTGGTATCACCAAGGAGGGTGATCTGGGGGTACATTCCTACTGGATGCTCCAAGAGGAGGAAAGGAATCTGGCCACAGCTCCAAAGAATGCTGAATAATGCCCAGAACGACCATGTCGAATTGGCAAGAGGGAAACCAGGCTGTCCTGCCAAAGGCACTGATGCTTAACGAAGAAAAGAAGGGAGGACAGTGTGGGGTGGAGAATGTCAGACATGGGGTTCTGTGGTGTGTCTCTGCTGCCACAGGGACACAGAAATGTAAGCTTCATACCCAAAGAGGCCAGCAGCCCTGGGTCCCCGGGCTCAAGCAGGGGTGGTACAAGGAAGGCTGCTCCTTACAGATTTGCTGACCAGGGAGATGACAGAGACAAACAGGGCTCAGAAAAACCTCACACAAGGCGAGCTGATGTCCTGGATTTTGGTGAGTGGGCACACATGTAGAAGACAAAAGAGCTGACAAGACATTTTCCCATGAACTCTACACAATCCGACTCCTAGTTACATCCCTATCCCTGTCTGTCCAGCTTGCTCTCTCTGTTACAGCCATACTGGCCACTTTTCAATTCCTCTGATAGGCCCCAGCTCCTCTTTATTCCATGACATCTATGGAGGACCCACCCCCATACCCCTTCTTTAATGACTATTCATCTTCCCACTTAATAACTATTCATCTTTCAAGTCTCACCTCATCACTTCCTAAGGAAATCCTTCCTAAATCAGCCAGGCTAGATTAAGTTCCTCTATGGGTCACCAAAGGAGTCCTTTCCCTCACAGCACTTACTTCAGTGCAAAATTATACATACATGTGATTATTTGATTAACATCTCTTTTTGCCGCTAGACTGAAAGCTCCGAAACAGTACCTCTGTTTCGTTTTGCTTGCCTCTGTGTCTGTTTTGCTTGCCACTGTATCCCTGGTACTGCAGCACAGTGCCTGGCATATAGGAAGTGTTTAATCAATACTTAATAAAGGAATTTAAAAAAACAGACAGTCATCGCTAAGGTAAAGATGATAATCCTTGCTATCTCATATAGACTTTTATGAAGCCTAAATATGCATTTCATAAAGCATGAAGTGCTATTTGAAACTTATTATTATTAAGAAGGCTGCTTAGATTATGATTCTAAATCAATGATTTTGAAGAAAGGAACCAAAAAAAAATTTTTCCCCCATAAGGCTTACCTGAAACTTTTTTCTCAAGGCCCGTGTCATCACTGGGGTCAGTCCGGTTCCTGTTTCCATATTTTCTTTATTGGTAAGTGGGGTCCCCCCTGGGCTCCTGCAAAGGTAATGAAAATATTAGAAACTGTGTTTTATGGCAATTATCAAGTGGATTTAAAATACATAAAAACAGGAGAGTATATTACCTTTCTACGTCGACTTTTCTAAGTAGTTTCCGCAGATCTATCTGACTTTTACCAGGAGTACTGATAAAATAAAGGCATTAAAGTTAAACTTGCTAGATTTTATCATTTTTCCCAATGCAAAGTGGTCATTTTTATAGGCAACATCCTAGAAAGTAAAAGTAGTTCTATTTGGTTCATTAAAAAATAATAGTAGATGTTGATAGGAGAATAAGGTGATATAATAATTTTTATAAGCACTACCTCTTAGTAATTACATGTGTAAAATACATCTTAGGGAAAAAATCAGCTATACACATAGATGACAGACAAGGATGTTCAATGAAGAGTTATAGAAATAAGACTTCCAGCCAAGATGGAGGCTAGGTAGACACACTGTGCCTCCTCGCACAACCAAAACAAGGATAACGACAAATTTAAAAACAAAAAACAACAAGAACTGACAGAATATCAAACCATATGGAAGTCCGACAACCAAGGAGAGTTCGTTGGAGAGACCCACAAGGGCCTAGAAAGTACACAAACCCACCCATCTGGGAATCATCACCAGAAGGGCCCGGTTTGATTGTGTGTAGCAGGGGAAGTGGCTGAAAGCTGGCAGAGAGCAGAGCAAGTGCTATTGTTCCCTCTCGGACCCCTTCCCCACATATATCATCACAAGGCAGTGACTGGGTTTCTCCGCCCAGGTGAACACCTAAGGCTCTGTTCCTTACTACGTAACAGGTGAGCCAAGACAAAAAAAAATGGCCCAAATGAAAGAACAGATCAAAGTTCTGGAAAAAATACAACTAAACAACAAAGAGATAGCCAACCTATCAGACGCACAGTTCAAAACACTGGTTATCAGGATGTTCCAGGAATTCCCTGGGTACTATAAAAAATACCCAGGCAGCAGTGAAGGTTGCATTATGTAAAATAAAGAAAAATCTACAGGGAACCAAGAGTGAAGGGATGGAAACCTGGACTCAAATCAACCATTTGGATCAGAAGGAAGAAAGAAATATTCAATCAGAACAGAATGAAGAAACAAGAATTCAAAAGTATGAGGAGAGGCTTTGGAACCTCCAGGACATCTTTAAATGTTCCAACATCTGAATTATAGGGGTGCCAGAAGGAGAAGATGAAGACCAAGTATTGAAAACTTATTCGAACAAATAATGAAGAACTTCCCCAACCTGGCAAAGGAAATAGACTTTCAGGAAGTCCAGGAAGCTCAGAGGGTCCCAAAGAAGTTGGACCCAAGGAGGAACACACCAAAGCACATCATAATTACATTACCAAGATTAAAGATAAGGAGAAAATCTTAAAAGCAGCAAGACAAAAGGGGAGAGTTACCTACAAAGGAGTTCCCATCAGACCATCAGCTGATTTCTCAAAAGAGACCTTGCAGGCAAGAAGGGGCTGGAAGGAAGTATTCCAAATCATGAAAGGCAAGGACCTACATCCAAGATTACTCTATCCAGCAAAGCTTTCATTTAGAATGGAAGGGCAGATAAAGTGCTTCTCAGATAAGGTCAAGTTAAAGGAGTTCATCATTACCAAGCCCTTAATATATGAAATGTTAAAGGGACTTATCTAAGAAAAAGAAGATCAAAACTATGAACACCAAAATGACAAGAAACTCACAACTATTAACAAACAGAACCTAACCCCCCCTCCCCCAAACAAACTAAGCAAACAACTAGAACAGGAACAGAACCACAGAAATGGAGATGATATGGATGGTTATCAGTGGGGAAGTGGAACGAGGGGAGAGGGGGGAAAAGGTACAGAGAATAAGCAGCATAAATGGTAGGTAGAAAATAGAGAGGGGGAGGTTAAGAATAGTATAGGAAATGTAGAAGCCAAAGCACATATATATACGACCCATGGACATGAACTAAAGGGGGGGGAATGTGGGTGGGAGGGGGTGTGCGGGGTGGAGGGGAATAAACTGGGGGAAATGGGACAACTGTAATAGCATAATCAATAAACTATATTTTAGAGAAAGAGTCATAGAAATAAAAAATCATAACCTAAGTGTCTGAAAACAGGATTTTATCCATGAAATTTACATATTATAAACTGTGTATATTAAGGAAGCCAAATGATGCTTTAAACTAATATTTAATGAGATGGGGGAAGCTCATGCAAGATACACTGACTGGGAAATGTCATAACTGTCTACACTATGATTGTGCACAGGTATACACACACGTATACCTTGTATTTCCTTGACTCTAAGACACATTAGTCTTCATATTTTATTATTTCTGAAATTGACCTGTTTTAAAATTTATTTTATTGAGGTATAAGTTACTAAAATTCTCGATAGTATTTTTTCCCCTCAGCGTCTGTTATTAAATCAATGGCATATTTTATAATAAACAATAGATTATATCCCTAGAATAAGATTACAGTGATAAATAACAGTATGTTAATGGTGGCAATATTCAATGACACATTTATTTGGATGATTTTTGTTAAAATCATCCAAACTTTAAACTTTTGTAGATACCATTTTTTAAACTTTAAACTTTTTAGTAGATAGCATTTTTCTGTAGTACACATATATAATACTAGAGTTAAAAAAAAGCAAAACAAAAATCATTCCTTTAAGCAATGGCAGAGCATAGTAACATGGTATAATTCCTTACATTAAGACATGTGTGACTCGAGTTGATGACACTTTGGAGTTGGGCTTCAGCGTAACACGCTGCAGGTCAGAGACCGTAACTAGTGGATTCCGTGCCTTTGGTGATGGAACAAGCTTTAATTGCAAAATGAGACGTTATTAAAAACACATGAAAAATATTCAAAATGTAAACATGCTGAAACAAGGTATATTTGAGTCCTGAGTATGTGTAACATATGTCCACTACTCCACTCAAATTTTTATTCTAAAGCTTCAAAGTACTAGTACGTCTCTACTTCTTCATTCAGACTAATGGTTGGTACATAAAACAGCCTAATTAAATAACTTTGGGATCTATATAGTTTGTTGCAGAGATCCACAACTACTTAAATAAGACATCAAGTACTTACCATGGAATAGCTTCTATACACAAGGCTTGTATATATTTTTTCTATAAAAGGACAACCAGGCCAGTGGCTGAAAGGCTGTGGGTGGCCAATGATATCATACCTTCTTCCTTTCATCAAAACTCTGTGTTTTCTTTAGTTTCACAGTCTGTAGATCTTTAACTGTTATCTGCATGGGTCCATCTTTTTTTAATGGTCCAGCCTTAAAACACATGGAGAGATTACAGTTCAATTTGGATCCATGACACCTAGTCAAATGCAAATCCAAACGTAGTTTTTAAAGGCCTGGAGTTAAAACTTAACTCTTATTTACCCTAGGCACCTACCGAATTCTTTTCACTCAACCAAGAATGATACTGTTTTCAGTACCCAAAGATACTGAAACTACTGAAAGCATTCATTAAAAGGTACAGCTTTGATAATGAGAGATGGACTAGTTCCCTGCAGCCACGCATCTTCCTAGGAGTCACTACAATAAGTCAGGAACTGAAGTAGTTCCTCAAATCAAAGTGAAGTTTATCTGAACTACATAAAAAGATTCAGTTCCCACAGAGTAAAAATACATAGATATACTTTAGGGCAAACATAGCAATAGACTCTGGCTTAAACTCAGCTATTATAAATCAGCCATTATCCACAGTGCAAATTCAGCAGATTTTAAAGCAGGGCCATGACTATTTTAGTGATTCACAAACATCCCAGGCCCCTTGGCAGACACGTAAATCTAACGGAGGCTGGTTCTCCGGCCCGTGAGCGCTGTGCTTTAGGATCTACCACCTCTTCCTATTCCCAGTTCACCCACTAAGCCATCCTCTGTTCTTATTTTGGTTTCCCAGGGAGGTTTTCCATTTGGTAAAAAGACATGCTGCCGGTTTTCAAGGGAAACTAAATGGTTTAGTTGAAGGAAAAAAAAGGTATGCTGAGAAACCAACAAAAATCTTCTCCTCTACTGAGTTTCATTCATATATCCTTAAAAAAAATCCAATCACTTTCATTTCTATATCCAGCTTTTGAGAGTTCCCAGTGGACTGAGTTTTTATAAACACAATAATTGATGTGATTAAGATACAGGACCATAAAAAATATAGCTTTCCTGTCAAAGTCCTTAGCCCAGCTTTAAAGGGCCACCTGTCTTTGCTCCTCCATTACACACTGACCAAAACACACCTTCGCTAGATTGTTTTTTACCTGAAGTGCTTTAGTGAGATTGGATCTTCTGAGCAGCAAAGGTGCTGTGGGTGGTGGAGGTGGAGGCAGAGGAGGAGGTGGGGGTGGTGGAGGTGGCAGGGGCGGAGGAGGAGAAAGCGAGTCGGCTGGCTGTGGCGGCGTGGCAGGAAGTACAGCCCGGGACACTCCGGGGGCGGTTGGAACACCGGCAGGCACGTCTGTAAGTTTACCACTCATGCAGCAGGTCCGACCACAGCTTGGACAGGACGAATTTTCTGAGATAGTCTGAAAGAAGACATTACATTTAGCCAAGGAATAACAGATCAATTTGGTTCTTACAGCTGAGAATCATTAAAACAATAGCTACTAATTTGAATACTTTCATAGTATACCATGTGCCTCATAATATTTTCTCATTATTACTAATTCAGTAGTTCATTCATTCATTCATACTATATAGGTCAATGTGAGCCCATAGTGTGAACGCCACCTCATGGAGCTCACAGTCTGGTGAGGAACACAGACACTAAACACACACAAATGTACTCAGAACCAAACAAAATAATAATTCAATCAGAGTAATGAAGGGTGCTGAGAACATGAAGAGTGAGAAGCCTGGGGAGTGACATTCAGCCCAAGTCAGTGTGGGAAACAGAGCCCTGCAATCCCTGCAACACGTGGGGTCAGCATCCATGCAAAACGTGGTAGAGCTTCGAAAGTGTTCAGGAGCAGATCTGAGAGCGGGCAGGTCCAGGACTAGCCCTGAGGACTAGCCCTCTCCTACAGTCATTCGTCTTTAGTGAAAGTGCATTGGGATTCCTACGGGAGACACCCCTTTCCTCCTTACCTAGTTCCAGACTTGTGTTTTATCTGACAATACTAACCTTCAGTGCTTCCTGGAGCTTGGACAATTCATTTTCCAAAATGCAGAACCGTTGTTTCAGACTATCAAGTTCTCGGTGGCAGAAACGGGAAGGAAAGATGGCATCTTTCAATACTTCTAAACTCTAGAATGCAAAAACACACAAGCCTGACTCTGATGAGCAGTAAGATAAGGACAAGGGAAGAGGACAGGAAAGTGGTTTGATGTATGTTTTATAAAAACGAAGGTAGACATGACCCCACAGTCACTTCTCATCTGAGCTTAGCCTGAGTGCTGTGTTGACCCGACACACGCACAGAGCAAGCGTGCAGAAAAACCAACCGTACTGCTGAAAACAGGTACATCGGACCCATACCTGGGCTGTGCAGTTCTGGCACCAGTTGTATAGAGACCACACCCTCCTCGTCCAGAGTTTTACTGCATCTTTGATACTGGGAAATGTGAAGTTCCAGGATGGTCTTAGCCAGCTTCTGCTAAGGGGTATATTTGTGGAAGAAATAATCACTCTGTAGGACAAAACCAAATAAAATTTAAAAAAATCCTGAGTTGGGATAATAGCCTTTAATTCAACGACAAGCTGGTTTTATAGTACAAGTCAGGAACAGAGGATAACGAAAGTCAAATTCTTCAGTAAATTCTAGAATTCTGGAATTCACATATGCAACACATATTTGTTGAGTAAATCAACAGTAATAAATAAAATAGTGAGTAAAGAGGCATCAGGGATTCAGTAATGGACAAAATAAGCAAAAAACTCGACCTTCATGGAGTTTACAGTCTCATGGAAGGAAGGTCAAAATATATAAACAAACAAACAAACAAATAAATAGCACATTTAGAATGTTAGTGAATAAATACTAATGAGAAAAAGATAAAGCAAGAGAGGGGAAATGCGACATGTTGGATGGAGGTGACATTTTAGATAGGGTAGCCAGGGAAAGTCAAACTGAGAAGGGGACTTTGGGGAGGAAAGACCCTAAAGGAAGTAAAGAAGCTGGCAATGCAAAAACCTGGGGGAAGAGCACTGTGACAGGGGCAGCGGTAAGTGTGAAGACCCTGAGATGGGAGCTTGCAGTGTTCTGAGGAATAGCAAGGAGGCCAGGACGACTTGAGTGGAGAAATAGAGGGGAAGAGGATTACGAAACAATGTCAGAGTCAAATCATAAAGGCCTGTGGGTCATACAAAGAACTTTACTTTTTACTCTGAGAGAGGAAGACATTGAAGGGCTTTATGGAAAGAAGCAACATGACGTGATTTTAACAGGCTCACTGCAGAGGGGCCAAGAGCAGGAGCAGAATGACCAGTTAGGCGGCTTTCTCAGAATTCAAGGGAGGCAGAGAAGAGGATGATATGATTACTGGGTTTTTTGAGGGCCTGTTTGTTTTAATTCTTTTCTGTAAAGACAGCTATAACAACAAAACATACTGAGTATGTCATTGTGACACGTAGTACTATTTCAACAACACGTTTAAGCCCTGAGTCCCAATAACTGACCAAGCTTCACCAAAACGAAGCTTTAAATTCTAGTCTTATACCCCTCTTTCATTGCTTTGTTACCATTTTTATGCAATTAAATTGACTAGGAAAAGAGAAGATAGTTACTATGTACTTTTAACACAATTACTTGTGATTATTACTTCATTTTGAGGCAGGAGACAGCATAGGAAGAACTCTGAGACTGCAATACTGTTACTGGGCAGCATCTAGCACCCTGGTTGCCAGGAAACCCTTTTACCAGTTAGGTAGATTAAACAGTAAACCGAGGCAGGGAGGAGGAAGGCAACACGCCTCACATACTAACTCAGCAGTCCTGAGCCTGGTCTGATAATATTGTCAGGTGTTCCAACATCACAAGAAACACTATGTTAGAAAGAAAGAAGGGAAGTCCTTGAAATTCTGTGAAACAATTCCACTATCTGGGAAAGAAAGCCTTGAACCTGTGCTTTTATCCCAAGGCCTGGAATGTGGGAGAGGGTCCATGGTACCCAAAGAAGAAGCCCATAAAACAATTTTGGTTAATTGTCTGCCTCTGGTCACTATCTGTTTTACGAGAGAGTCCCTGATGCTTACAGAAAGAGCCCATAAATAACTTTGGAAAGTGTCCCAATTTTAATTAACTGCCTCCTGTCATAACTGCCTCCTTATTTTACAACAAGATGAACAAATGGAGTCTGGAGCAAGATAAGGATTCAGGCTGGCAGACCCCCACACATACCTAAGTTTTGGTAGTCAGGTTCCTCCAGGAAAGCTGGCACATTCACCCATCAATCAATATGTAACTCTTCCCCTCCCATCCCACCAACTATGTAAGTCCTCAGAACAAAGGTGTCTCTCTGTCTGCCTGTCTGTGTGTCTCTCTCTCTTGTGGGCTCAGGGCACTCTTGAAGCTCTTGTCTACAGGGCTACTGGGCCTCTGGCCACCCGGCCTCAGGCTCTGCCCCGGGACTTGCCACCCTGGTCTTCAGCAGCTCTTACTTTTGTTGCCCTGCTTTGCCCTGAAACTTTGCCTTTCACCCCCCACTCTACCCAGACCCGTTCTCTTCCATGGGAACAGGTCACTAATAAACTGATTACATGCTAATAGATGTGCTGATCTGTAATTCTTTACATGCACCAGCAAGAAGAATCAGGTCTCTCCCGTCAACAATCTGAACTCTTAAGCTATGGCTGCCACACAAAATCCAAGGAAACTCAGTTAAAATTTAATTTCTGATAAATAATGAATATATTTTAGCTTATTAAGAAGTTGCATGGGACAATACAGAAATATTCAGTTTATCTGAAATTCAAATTTAACTGGACATTCTGTATTTTCATTTGCTATATCTAGTAACTTTATCCTACACTGATGGGATTTTAAATGTTTTCTTATTCTACATTATGCCTTACCTTTCTGGGGATGGTGGTGGAGCAGGAGGTGTAATTAGCTGGGACTGAAAGTGAGAGGCTTTTCTTTTTTTCAATAATCTTTTTGCTTTTGTTTTCAGCTTTCTTCTTTGTTGTTTGAACTTAAGCATGATTCCTGTAGAGAAAAAAACACTTTTGACATTTTTTTCCTCAAAGAATACTATATACATATAAGCCCTGGCTGGTGTAGCTCAATGGGTTGAGCGCGGGCCTGCGAACCAGACAGTCGCGGTTTGATTCCCAGTCAGGGCACATGGCTGGGTTGCAGGCCGGTTCCCAGCAGGGGACACACGAAAGGCAACCATACATTGATGTTTCTCTCCCTCTCTCCTTCCCTTCCCCTCTAAAGATAAATAAATAAAATCTTTAAAAAAAAAGAATACTATATACATATAGAAAATGTACACATCTTAAGTGTATCATTCAATGAATTATCACGAAGTAAACTAGAACACTTGTAACCACCACCTTGATTAGGAAATAGGTCACTACCAGCATCCCAGAAGTCTTCTAATGTAGAGAAGAATTTAAACCCACATTTACACAATTGCCACAGAGACCTTGGCTTTGACATTACATTACTAATTGTGTTTTGATTGTCTTGCTTTTCTTCATTAAGTTCAGTGACTTTCCCTTTCTTTGTAACAGAGAAAATAGCAATAGTTGGATAATGATATGTTACTCAAAGGAATTAACTTTGCCAGTAACATTTACTGAGCATCCACTGTAATAGGTGGAGTTGGTAATAGAAGAAAGAAAATCAACCATTTACTGAATGCCCATGTACTTTTAGGCACCTCCACATACATTTTCTCAGTGAGTCCTCTCTTTCTTACAAGATATTATCCCTAAGGGAGTTGATTTTTATCCTCAGTTTTATGCAAGAATAAACCAAGGCTTAGAAAGGTTAGATGCTTTGCCCAATGTAATGCAATAATGCATTGTACTGAGTCCAGACCTGTCAGTCTCCAAAGACCATGATCTCTCCAATGTACTGCAGTGTAACAGATTAGTAGGTGATATACAAAATAACAATTACCCCAAATCTAAAACATGGATGTTTCGAAAACACATTTATTTTAAAGTGGTGTTTAAAACAATCTAGCTATCTAGCATATTTATATTTCATTCTGGATTCTTAAGAAAATTCTAGAGTTGGCTTGATGGGAAGTCCCCAGGGGCCCTCCCTGGTTTTAGCTAGTTGTAGCTCCTTGAGGAACAAAGATGTCTTTATTCAAGTAGCAGAACTAAAAATGATCTCAAGGGCTGGGCCTCCTCCTCTTCAAACTTACATTTGAATAGGAACAATTGGCCTTTAAAATACACATTCATTTCACTTTTGTTCACCCAGTAACCTTCTAGCACTTGGTATGCAGCTCTGATCTTGCTCTGCTCTCAAATTCCACTGACTGAAGAACCTGCCCCCAGCCTGCTGTGGGTTGTAAAAACTGAGAAGTGGCAATAACGCTAAGAGCTTTGGAGTAGGCAGAGGGCACCCCTAACAGCAATATGTGACAGTGCATACATCAACAGCCTTCTAGGAGTGAAGATTCTTAGTAGTATCTTTTTGAACTAATTGCCCAGTCTTAAATTAACAGAGTGTGTTCCTCGGTTCTTAGAGGCTTGAAAGACACACTAAAAAATAGTTGATTCTGTGGTAGGCAGTTAGACAGGCATGAGTGGAGCAAGGATGATGGGCCAGGTACAGTCACCAGGGTGGAAAGCAAGAGGAAAAATTGGGAAAACAAGAACCTCGCTTTGCTCCCAGGGTGACTTTTCCTCCCCTAGCGTGTTGCTGGTCCTGGGGTTTAAACCCCCTGACCTTTCCTCCGATGGCATACATAGCAGTAGTCATGTGGTTTCGGAACCCCCTTAGAGGAGAAAGAAGCAAGGAACAGGGGAATGGCCTCAACGACTTCCCATACAAACAAACCCTTGCACCACCACACTCCAAGCATTAAGCCCTAGAGAATAACATATAAGCATCAGCTATGTTTCAGTTCCGGGCCCAGGAAAGCAGCAAAATCAGGCAAAGTAACACCCACCACGCTGACATCACAACCAGATGCGATGACTACTGTGGCTCTCTCTGTGGAGCATGCCAGCACCTTTTCTACTGCCTTCCAGGTCTTTCTCCTGGGCTCCAAAGGCCCTTCTTTTGCCTCTGTAACTTGCGTTCTGAGCCCAATTTCTTCTATGGCTTACTTCTTCCACCTTTGGGACTTTCTAAATAAACCGTCTCATAGTTTGTCTTGGCTCTGAATTCTTTCTTAGCTAGAACTCAAGGACTGAGGTTGTTGAACCAAGGTCTGGTCTGACTCCACTTCTCTAATACCTGGTGCTGTTTCAACTACCAACTATTTCAGCCGCTTTTTCTTTCCGTTGAAATAATGGAGGTTGGTCAAGCATGGACAATTAAATGCAAGGGATGTCTAAAGGATTGATATTTTTTTTGGGGGGGGAGAAGACAAAATAAAAATACTCTGAATGGAGATATTTGGGAAGGCATCGGAAGAAGCGGCAATCTTGTGACTGCCTGAAAATAAGGTTAAATAAATGTCATCGAATCCATGCCCACGAATGAAGAAATGTAACTGGCAACTTGTATTCAAGGCTCAGAGTTCACTGGCTGAGATCCTTAGAATCCACATCTTCCATGGTAACCTCCATTCCTTGTCTCCCATCTGCCCCTTTCAGCCCTCACCCTTCTGTTCCCTCTCTACCCTAGATGTCTAACATAGAGAACTGGCTTCCTGCCTCCCAGTTCCTTTATTCCCTATATTCACCAACGTCTAAGTTATGAAAGTACACTTTGCAAAGGAGTTGGACAGTCTTCTGGTTTAACTTGGTGGACTGACTCCATATCTTTACCTCCAGTCCAATGGTGCCCTAGGGTTGGCAACTGCTACACTTTCAGGATCCACTCTTAAAATTAGATTCTGTAAATGTAAAACTAGATTATTTATTTTACAAAGGAATCAGTATGTAAAACACATCACTTACTAATGATTTCTATGAATATAACTATTATCTATACTCTTGAGGTTGTTTACCTTATTGTACTAATATAGTAAAAAATGCTATAGGTGCTGTATTACTGTTCATTTTTTCTCCAGCTCCACGGTCATTTCACATTGGCAACTTGAAATTAGCCATGATAGGAGTATTTACACCACAAATATAAAATACTACAAATTAGGGCTTGATTTATTATTTTGTTGATTGAGAAAGTGATTATTAAGAATGTTAATAAGGCAGATTAAACTTAAAAGTGTATTTGGTCTGTGGTCATTACATTGTGAACAGCACAAAAAATTGAGAGGTATTATTCCAGTATTTGAAAACTATTATCTGATTCCTCAAAGAAGTGGCTTACATAACTAAAATGAAGTCTAATGTAAATCTTTGTGTTTTGCATTTCTCTTACTCCATAAACAAAAATATCGACCAACATTCATATCATCTACGGCTATTATTTAGGACACCAAAAATAAAGAGATTCTCAAAGCTTCCAGAAGGGGGAAAAAGTCTAAACACAGAGAGGACTGGGAATAGAATGGCATCAGTCTTCAACAGCCACACTGGAATTCTAAAGGAAATGTTTTCCATCCTAGAATCTATACCTGGCCAAACTCTCAGTCAAGTGTGAGAACAGAATTAAGATAACTAATGGGAATTTCCAGGATCCTGGTGGCCACAAGTCCTGGGAAGACAACTTTGAAGCAAGCATAGGACAGGGGTCAGCAAGCCTCTTCTGTAAAGGGCCAGATAATAAATATTTCAGGCTGTGCAAGCCATCTGGTCTGTGTTAAAACCACTCAGTTCTGCCACTCTGGCACCAAACCAGTTTTAGACAATTCATAAACAAACGAAGGTGGCTGTGTTCCAATAAATTTTATTTATGCCTACTGAAGTCTGAATTTCATATAATTCTCATGTGTCACAAAATATTTTTTTTTATTTTTCCCCCCAACTATTACAAATTGTAAAACCATTCTTTGTTTATGAGACCTATAAAAACAGTAGTTGGCTGACCCCTGGCTTAGAGTGGACACAGCCAGTGAAGTGAGCAGGGGTAACAGAGAACTTCAGTAACAATGTCTCTAAGGCAAAAAAAAGGAAACAGATTTCCCAATGTATTTCTCCATTCTAGAGGAGTTGCCTGTACTTTCGTAAAGTTGGGGCCAAATTACCGCTAAGTGCTTAAAAAAATAAGCATATAAAAATGGTTAGGAAAAAGTTTTACAAAGAAAAATATAATTATAGCTATATTATATGTTCCCCTATTGCACAATATTTAATAGTGTAAGCATTGAATGTTTATTCAAAAATGATGATTTAAGTATATTGGGTAGAAAGATAAAGTAGAAAGCAGTAGTTGCCTAAATTTATATAATGTCTAAAATTTAAAAAGCAGAGAGAGAAACAGTATTATAAGCATGTAATTTAGAAACATGGAGGTAAATGACAGAAAGAGGTAAATATCTACAAGAGTGGATAGTGTTGCCTTTGGTAAGTGGGAGTCAGGATTATAGGGAGATAATTCAGAGGACTGCCATTTTTGTTTGTTTCTAACAATAATAGACCTTGTATTAGTAGTTGACAGTTAACCTTTGGCATGTATTATTAGCTTGAAAAATAGAATACCACCATTCTGGAACTGGGCCATCTCTTTCTAGCTCTTTTCTGGTGGTTGTTCCAATGCCCATGCATTCAAATTTCTCAAGAGTCATATGAAAGCTGATGTCGTTTTGGAGATTATTTTTCAATGAAAAAAGTCTAATAACTAAAACATTTTCTCCTCTTTCTTCTCTGGCTGTGTGTGTGCGTGAGAGAGAGAGAGACAGTCACTCTAACAGCCTTCTAATTAACTACAGTAATTAGCACATGAAAAGAATTTTAAGACTATGTCAAATCTGTAAGTGTCAAATGGTGCAGTCTGAGATATTAATGTTCCATTAAAAAGTAATCACAGGTCTATCAAAAATCGAAGATAATTCCTACCTCAAGCAGGACAGAGGACTCAGCAAGCTAAGGTTTGTCTTTATTATTGCCTTATTAAAAAGTGTTAGATACTCTATAGAGGACAATTGTACAATGTAAAGAATATACAGCAGTGTTCCTTGAGTTTAAAACACGTATACTTGTCCCCTTTCTAAAAGAGTAACGAGACATGCAATTCTTTTTGCTGGGTTAGGTAAGATTCCAGTTGCCAATCCTAGGTAGAAGCTCATTCTTTCATGATTACTCAAAGCATTTTTCCTATTTTTTTTTTAAATTGAAAAGTATTCTTTCTTTTTACCTCCCTTGCTTTGAAAAGATTTTAAGGCCAATTAAAAAGAACCTGCACCGCCCTGGCCCGTTGGCTCAGTAGCATCCTCTCCTACACCAAAAGTTAGTGGGTTTTATTCTGGTCAGGGCACATACCTAGGTTGCTGGTTCCATTCCAGGTAGGATGCAACCCGATCGACGTTTCTCTTTTTCCTTTCCTCTCTCTCTAAAATCAATAAACATATCTTCGGGTAAGGATTAAAAAAAATAGATATATGGTTAGGTTGGAACCCGGCATACCACTTCTTAACCGCCTCAAACGTCTGCTCCGCTCAGTCTCCCCTCCGAGTCCAGTCAAAGTCCCCAACTCCGTAAACTTTAGGAACGTAAGCACCAACAGGCACAGCCATGGAAGACGCGAACCCGAGAGTATCCCTGCACTTACTAGACTAAGAGCCCGGGGATTAGATGAAGTCCAGGTAGTGGTCTCGCCCTCGTCATGAAGAAAAATTCAAAATTAAAACCTTATGGTGAAGGGGCCAATCGTAGCGACGGTCTCTCCACGAATAGTGCTCCTAGTGACACTGGAGCACAACCTGGTTTGTGATTGGCTGATAAAGCACCCCGCTCCAGCCAATCAGAGCTGAGGCGCTTCTGGTATGAATAAGGAGAAGGAGGGAGCGAGGGGAGGAGAGGAAAGAAGGTGTGTCACTTCCCCTATGCCGTTTGTGAAAGCCTTTTTGTAATTGGTTGGCTCTTTTTCCCTTTGCACCAATCACAATCTTTACTTCTGAGCCCTAACTATGAAATTGAAAGTAGAGATGAGGGTGCAACCAATGGAAAAAAGTAAGAGTACAGCAGCCAATCTTTCTGAGGCGTTTTGTGTCTTTGCCCAACAGGAAAGCGTGTTTCAAGAGGAAAGGCGTTACCAAGCCGCCAATGGGCGGGCGCTGGTGAAGCCGAGGAGCCAATGAGTGCAAGATGTTGAGTGACAGCTGTCCAATAGGGACCCTCAGTGCTAGTATGGTTTGCGGCTTAAGCGGCGCCGCGGCCTGAGGAATGTCAACTATTCAACATGGAGGAGGAGGTCGATAAGCTGGAATTGATGGTGAGTGTAAAGTGAAGGAGATCTACTGGCTGGTTTATTTTTCCCCCAATGGCTTCCAAAGTGGGACACAATTTGGAGTCGCCGGAAACCCTGGGTGGCGGAGGCTGGACCAGATCTGAGTTCCCTCCCCCTGCACCAAAGGGAGTCGCCGCCGCCTGGTTTTTTAACCGCCGCGGGAGGGGGGGGTTACATCCGGGAAACTAGTGAGGGAAATGGCGGGAGATGCTGAGGGTGTGGGGCCATTGGGATTTTTTGTTCCTTGCCCTCACCTTTCCGCCCCTCATGGAGCTGTAGCTGGTGTAGACGTTTGTATTAACACCAAAAAGATATGGCTGGAATGGTCCCAAAACGCCCCAAGAAGGGAGAGGTCGTTCATACTCCAGAAAAAGGGGATGGAGGGTGGGATTGGGTGGGGATAAACGGAGTGTGGCGGATTGAAATCCCTTCGGAGTTTAGCTGTTCGCGTCCTCTAAGGCGGGCTTGAAAGTCTGAGAAAGGATGCTAGACTTGCGTGCTCAACTTCCTAGCGGCCAAGAAAGCCCCTAGACCAGTTCTTGTTGGGCCCCAAGGGGGCAGGCAGTCCTTGGTGGGGGAGCGAGCCACGGGCATCTGAATGCTGAGCTCCTTTCCTGGAGCAAGGGCGGGATTGGGACGAAGAAGGCACCCTGCTCTTGAGTTGCCTAGTTTCATTCATTGTGAAAGTAGGGGGCGGGGGGCGAATAACTGAAAAGGACTCCCGCTGCTGCCCGGCCTTCACGAGGGCGCCGAGCTGGAGAGCTGTCCTCCTTTTCTTCTATGGATCCTTCTCTCACTTGTCCTTTTTATTCCCTCCCTTCTGTCCCTAGGCTACTAGCTGCTAGCTTGATCGCCCGCGCTTTTTTCTTATCTTCTTAGTTCCCTGGTTTTACCTTCAGTCCTTTTAACCCCCTGCGTTGCCGGTTTTGTTTAATTGGGCTGGCTTCCTTAAACGTGGAATTTCGAGGACTCACTCGTCATTGAGTTCCTGTCGGTTTTTCGTTAAAGAAAAATAAGAGTAAGTAAAGAAGTCAGAATCTTCACCCGCAATCCGCCCCCCTTCCCCTTGCCATATCCAGGCAGTACGCCTTCGGTATTATTTGTGGCTGTGCTGCTCTCTCCAGGCTGAATCTTGGGTCACGTTAACATCTGCATGTGTGATGATCCTGAAAGAAACTGAATACCGACCTCGCCCCATTCCCACCCCCAGAAAATATGGGACCTTGATATAACTTATTTTTCTTCTGATGTATTAATGAATGGCAAATGCCTCATATACAAATTTGATTTGAACTTTCAGTTGTTCCTAGTATTTTGAGTTAATTTTCTTGGGGCGGGGTTAGAGGGGGGAGGGCATGTTTGGAGACAGGGAGGTAGAGAAATGGCAGAGAAGAATTTTCTGCAGCTTTCCAAACCTGTAATAATGAACTTTTAGTTCAAAGTTTTGTTATTTTTATAATTAATTGTCTTAACAAAAAAAGTTGAAGCATTGTAGTATTTTGATTCCATCAACAGGCATAAATGCTAATATTGTCTTGCCCTTCTCCCCCCATTCTGAATTCCTCCTTCCAGATCCATATTTCTGCCCAGTTGTGAGATTCAAAATGATACTAGTTTTGCTTTGAACAGTTCCCCCTCCCCGAAGTTGGCGGTTTCATTTTGAGGTACCAATTAAGTCTTTTCTGGACTTGGCAATATATTGAGTCGATATTCTGACAGGACTTTTGGTTTTAGATTGAGCGTATTTTAAGGGGAAAATGATTAAATGTACATCAGGAAAAGTAAGTTTTAAAAAATTATGAGGTAGCCAGACTCAAACTTTTAGATGTTTGAATGATGGGGTAGTTTTTAAAACAACCTTTTTAAGAGAGGAAAGAAGAAAGCAGGTCTTCTTAAATTCCTTGCACCGTGATCAGTTTAGTTTCTAAGATTCTAAAGGTAAATCATTTTCGGTACAAGCCTTCTGATTTTTAGTTGGAAGTATTCTAATATCTGAATTTTGTGGGCCAGGACTTGAGGTCAAGACACCTACGTCCCAGCTGTCCTGTATCTGAGTTCATTTCTTCTAGGCTCAATCCAACTAGTAGCTGAACTGGACTATTTAAGGGAAGGTTAATGAAAATAATGGAAAGTGTGTTTGCATCAATCAACATTACTAATAGAGGAAAAACCTTATTGTGTATTGTAATCTTTATTCCCTAACTTTTTTTTTTCCTTTAGTCAGGGGTATTTGTCTATTTCTGGGCTTACATCTGATTTTTGAATGGTTTCTTAGCATTCAGTTAGAAGGTTAGCATGTTAATTGGCTTGAATCCAAGGGAAACCTCGTAACTTACCATAAATCTTTACTTATTGGATATCCCTCTCCCCCATTATCCCATTATTATTTTTTCTGATTTTAAGTTTGAAAGAAAGGGAGATGATTTCCTCCTAAGAGGTTTTAGGGGATAACTGAAAATTTAAAATCCTCGTTCATAACACCCTTAGCCCTACTAGTTAGGTAGAGCTAAGGGTGTTATGTTTAGGACATTGATTCCCTGAAGTCTGTAACCTCTAGATAAAAAGCCCTAAGATGGGTAAGTGATTTTTGTATTGTAGTTTAAATGCCAGAGAGAGATTGGGTATCTGGATATTGGGAAACATCATTTTATTTTTTATTTTTCTTCTTTGATGTTCTTATTCAAAAGACTTGTTTTATATGGCAATCAATCATTATGGAGGAACTACCCAACCTATCTCAGCAGAACAGAAACATTTTTCGCAACTTTGCCTTGGTAGTAATTACAACCAGTTTTGTTAAAACCAATCCTAAGGTATTAACATTGCCCATGTTAGTAACTTGTCAAGCTTAGGACATATTTACAAAATTCCTTTCTATATCAATACGCATGTTTCTATTTCAATATTAATCATAGATTAGTCATCATAAAATACCACTTTGATATGGGAGTCCAATTCTTTTTTTTTTTACATTTATATAAATGTTTTTATTTTTTGCATGTCTTCTGTGCAAAATGGCAATTCTTCCTTAAATTCTTTTCTCACTGAGGCTTCAACTGATGCAAGATGCTTTTGTGTTCCTTTCTTCACCCTACTGCTAACGAGTGCTCTGACTTTATTGCACTACTGTACTTTACACTAGCAGTGCAATAGTATTGTCAAAGCATCTGAAAGCAGGATCCACACCAGAATTTTGACTCTTGCCTTACATCTTCAGTATCTGTGAGTAATTCACTGAAATCTTTGTTGCTGAAAACTTTTTTTATTATAAAAAATTTTACTATCAAAAGTATTTTTAAAAGTTGTAATTTGAAAAAATGTTTTTAGCTAATTAAAAACTCACTGTTGTAATGCATTATGAGACACATTAAGAGAATAATTTTTATAGCTAAATTTGTTATGGCTAATTTAAATGAGTAGTACTTTATAATTTGCTTCTCTCTCTGACAGATTTGAATAGGCTTTGGCAAATCTCAGGTTTTATTTGAATTTTAAGATGAATTAGTTAGTGATGAAAACAATGTCAGTTGTATATTTACTATGATAACTTGCTCCACATCTAAATTTGTGTATTGTGTAGTAAATGCTTAAATTTAAAACTTAATAATGCTTGATTTAAAGTACTTTTTTAAAAACAAATTATGAGGTATAAAGTGTGAATCCAGCACTATATTTTGTAATCAGTTTTATTAAGCTACAGTTTACATACACTAAAACTCACCCATTTTAGATGTACAAAGTTGATGAGTTTTGACAAATATGTACACTCATGTAACCACCATCCTGGCCATGATATAGAACATTTTCATCAGCTTAAGAAAGTTTCCTTATGCCCTTTTGCAGTCAGCCTCTTCCTCCTAAATTCCCTGACAACCACTGAATTTCATGTGAATGGAATTACATACAGCACGTGGTCTTTGTGTCTGGTTTCTTATAATTAACATAATACTTTTGAGATCTGTCCATGTTACATGTATTAGTAGTTGGACCATTTTTATTGCTGAGTAGTATTCCTTTGTACAGAATATCATGAATTATTTATTCATTCACGAGATTATCAATTTTGGGTTGTTGCCAGTGTTTACCTATTATGAACAAGTTGTTATAAACATTTTATTATAAGTCTTTATGTGGACATAATGTTTTTGTTTCTCTTGGATGGCATGATAAATGTACGCTTGATTGTTACTGTAGACCAGGGGTGTCCAAACTTTTGGCATCTCTGTGCCACACTGGAAGAAGAGTTGTCTTAGGCCACACATTAAATGCATTGTGACATGTAATCACAAAAAAATCTCAAAATGTTTTAAGTAAATTTACAGTTTTGTGTTGGGCCTCATTCATAGCCATCCTGGAGTGCATGTGGGCAGGGTGGGAGGGTTTCACAGGTTGAACACCCCTGAGTAGACAATAAGAGCGTAGGGGAGTCTTCCCCCACTGGCCAAGGTGGTGGCAGGGAAGGATCTTACACTGAGCATGCCAAAAGCTAGAAAGGTAATTAATTGGTTAGGAGAACAAAGCCCTCCCCTCCCTATCCCTGTAAAGAACCATTTGTGGGTTAGAGAAGGAAGATGAGATGGTCTTAGGGCAGGGAGTCCACCATTCTCCCAGGTCTTGTGCACCTGAGTAAGTCTCTTTCTTTTTGCACCAGCACCTGCCTCATGAGTTGCGCTTTTGTGGCAGCAGGCAGCCCAACCTCCATTTTTGTTCTGTTACGTGACCCTCTAAGAAACTTTTGAAATCTCTTCCAAAACTATGCATTAGGGTTTCAGATTCTTCATGTCCTCACCAACACTTCATATTGTCAGTCTTCTTCATTTTAGCCATTCTCATAGGTGTGTAGTTATGTCTTATAGTTTCATTTTGCATTTCCTTAATGGCTGATGATATTGAATATCTTTTCATGTGCTTATTTGCGATTGGTACATCTTCTTTAATGAAGTGTCAGATCTTTTGCCAGTAGGATATGAAAGGCCATGAATATG